AGGGCAAGAGAAGACTCTAAATTTCTATTCGTGCCAGGCTATCATAGAACAGCCCAATGCTTCCTCTACTGAAGCAGTGTCAGAAAAGGCCAAGTGGGGAGCTAAGACTTTTATCCACCCATGCAATAATGCTTGCCCACCCTCCCTTCACTACCAGGGAACTCATGTGGGGAACCTGAACTCCACCTGTCTCCAATGGGTAATGGTGCCCATTCTGTCTTCCTGTTTGTGTTAGAGGAAGCCTAATGAAGAATCAGCTTTTTCTCCACTGCCCAATAATAAGAAGAATTCTTGTTATTCAGCATCTACGATCACATGGTCAGAGAGGCATGGCAGAGAAACATCCCTTCCACTTGGAGGAAAAAGGGAAGTGGGGCATAGACTTGCCTTAGAATCCAGCACTGGGCCCCTTGTAAAACCTAATGCCAGTAGGCCTCCAGAGCCTCCAACTCCATGCTGGTACCCATTGAATGAGCAGCCCCAATTCCAGATCAGCTCTCATAGCTCCAGCTCCAGGCCTCCCTTTGGATCTTCCCCATCACCACCAGGACTGACACCAGCAGCCTCAAGGTTTCAGGTTCAACCCAGGCTAAGGCTTTAGAACACACACACACACACACACACACACACACACACACACACACACACACACACATCTAGTTAGTCCCAACAAGCTTCAGAGCCATTCCAATACTGAGTCAACTGCAGAAGCTTATGGCCAAAAAGGTCAGCACTCACTCAAAAACCCACCTTTCAGGCTGGCTCCTGTATATATAGGCATCAACCCCATTGGCATAAAAACTGACAAAGGAACAAAATGACAAGCCCTGAAACAAATCTGTGCATTTATAGCCAATTGACTTTTGACAAGCCTAGCAAGAACACAAAATGGGAGGAGAGCAACCTTATTACATGAAATTGAGACACTAGATATCTAAGCTGATTTTCCCACTATGAAGTTATTGGAGTTCCTTCTAATACTTTGGGTATTGGCCTTTATGAGCTACATGGTTTTGAAGTATTTATTCCCAATAAGTGAATTGTCTCTATACTCTGCTGTTTGTTTCCTTTGCAGTAAAAAGATTTTTTGTTTTAAATGCAGCAGTGATACTCACTAGACACTATGTTGAAAATAAACTAAACAACTTTTGGGAGAGAAGGGTCAGGAGGGAAAAACTTGGAGTAAATGAGGGAAGAGGTGACACTGTTCAAAAAGAAATGTACTCATTACCTGATTTATGTAACTGTAACCATCTGTACATCACCTTTACAATAAATGTTTTTTCATTTACCACTTTTTTTAATTGTGAAAAAAACCATACAGAGGAGTTACAATTACATGGGCAAGGTAATGAGTACATTTCTTATCAAGCATTGTTGCTTCCTCCTTTGTTTCCCCTTACCTATCTCCCCCCATCCTCCTCCTCCCCCCACCCTGTGCCAAAGTTGTAAAGTTCGATTTTTACATAACGTCTTGTACATCTCATTGCTGCAGTGGGTCCACCTGTATCCCTATTTAAACCATTTGTTTTTTCCCTTCCCCTCCACAAAGTATACCGACATCAAATATAATAAAAACAGGGATTACACTGTCATTCTTTCTGATGGAGACATAGAATTCCATTGTGTATATATACCACATTTTCTTGATCCATTCATCTACTGAGCAGCATCTGGGTTGGTTCCATATCTTACCTATGGTAAATAATGTTGCAATAAACATAGTTGTGCTGGTAGTTTTAGTATAGCCTTGTTTGTGATCATTTGGGTAAATGCCCAAAAGTGGGATTGCTGAGCCATAGGGAAGCTCTATGTGGAGTCTTTTGAGGAACCTCCATACTGCTTTCCAAAGTGGTTGAACAAGTTTACACTCCCACCAACAATGCTGTAGGGTTCCCTTCTGTCCACATCTCCTCCAGCATCTGTTGTTATTAGAATTCTTGATTATAGCCCTTCTAACTAGAGTGAGGTAGTATCTCAGTGTTGTTTTGATTTATATTTCTTTTATGGCTAAGGAGGTTGAGCATTTCTTCATGTGTCTATTGTCCATCCTTCTTTCTTCTTCAGAGAAGTTTCTCTTTAAGTCTTTAGCCCACTTATTTATCGGACAGTTGTTTCTTTGAGGATTTGTTGTTGGGAGATTTAATTTTTGGGGGGGGGTCCAGTCGTGGGGCCTGAACTCTGGGCCTGGGCGCTGTCCCTCAGCTTTTCAGCTCAAGGCTAGCGCTCTACCACTTGAGCCATAGCGCCACTTCCAGCTTTTTTTCTTTTTGCTTATGTGGTGCTGAGGAATCGAACCCAAGGTCTCAGGCATGCAAGGCAAGCGCAGTACCACTGAGCCACCTTCCCAGCCCCTGAGGGATTTAATTTTTTGAGTTCTAAGTATATTTTAGATATGAGACCCTTGTCCATTATATGGCTAGTGAAGATCTTCTCCCAATCCGTGGGCTTTCTATTGATCTTGCTAGCTATGTCCTTTGTCATGCAGAAGCTCTGCAATTTCATGCAATCCCATTTGTCCAACCTTTCTTTGATTTGTTGTGTTTCTGGGTCTCTATTAAGAAAATTTCGGCCTGTGCCAAGGAGACCTACGGTTTCTCCTATTCCATCCTGTAATGTTTTCAGAGTGTCTGCTTTGACTCCGAGGTCTTTGATCCATTTGGAGTTAATTCCAATAAAATTTTTTAAGACTTTTTAGTTCAATGCCAAACCATTGTTTCTGTTTATCTATGTTTTTTTTGTTACCTATGCTTTTGGGAATCATATACAAAAAATCATTGCCTTAGACCAATACTGTGCAACATTTCTTGTGTTTCCTTCTAATGGTTTTACAGTGTCATGTGTTAACATTTAAGGCTTTAGTCCTTTTTGAGTGGAATCTTACCTATGGTGTGAGAATCTAATTTCATTCTTCTGCTCATGGATATCCATAGATAAGGATAACTGACAATCCAGAATTTAACAAATTCATAATTTTTTGCTCTGTAAAAGACTCTGGTAAGCAGATAAAAGACATTTATATATAGCCTGGCAGAAAGTATTTATAAATCATATGCTAGCTTTTGCATTACTGTAACAAATGCCTGAGAAAATTCAATTAATAAAGAGAAAAGGTCTAACCTGGTTCACAATTTTGTAGATTTCAGTTCCTGGTCAGTTGGCCTAATGCAGATTGTGGTAAAGCGTTACATCATGGCAAGAAGCATGTAGTAGAAGAAAACCTCATAGAGGGACTGGGAGAGTATGAGTCCCATGGCCTCACAATCCTCTTCAAGGGAGTGTCCCTAATGACCTGAAAACTTCCCACTAGGCTTCACCTCTTAAAGTTTCTACCATATTCCAACAGTGCCATAGGTTGGATGCCAGACCCTTAACACAGGAGCCTTTAGACAACATTCCAGACAACAAACCATAACAGCACATATGCCACAAAGGCCTAGGATCTCAAAAGGATAAATGAATGATATATAGATAATAGGTAGATGAATAGATAATACACCAAAAGATAGATGATACATGACAGAGATAGGTGATAGATAGCACATAGACAATAGATGATAGATAATAGGTGATTCGACGGCAGACAGAGATAAATGGTAGGTAATAAATAGATAAATAGATTCACTATAATGCATAGATAATAGATGATAGATAGTAAACAGGGAGACAAATGATAGATTGATAGATAGATAAATAGATAGATATTCAATAATTTTAAAAACAACCCAATCCAGATATTTCTCCACCCAGTCTTCCTGGACGCTCTCATATTCTCAATCTGGCCAGCTGCTGGCAAATGACTCTCAACCTCTGCAGGAAGTCAGGCACTCTCACTGCCTTTCCTGATTTGGTCCTCACAAACTTTTCCCAAATCAGCACTCCCATCTAGTCCATGCTGTGAGCCTTAGTTGGTATTGAGAGGCCTGAAACTGGGGGACAGTTAAAGCCTCCCAAATCAAGCCTACAGCTGAGACCTGAAGAAGAGTGGTTTAAAAAAAATAGAGCTTTTTTTTAAAAATACATTTTTATTGTGAAAATACTGTACAGAGGGTTACAGTTATATAAGCAAGGTAATGAGTACATTTCCTAGCAAGCACTGTTACCTCCTCTGTTTTTCCCCTACCCTCCCTTTCCTCCACACGTCCTCAACTATGCTCCCAGCCCTCTACCCCTCCCCCCTCCCTCCCCGCCTAAATTGTAAAAATAGGGCTTTTAGGCTTGAGGTTTTCAAAAGGACAGACACTGCTGGATATGGGCAGGGGCTCTTTCTGTTGCCCTCATCAAGTCATAGAGGCCACTAAATTTTTCCCCTTCTCTTTTTCTCAGAGCAAATGGACTAACATGGAGTTTTTGACTACCTAAGCTGCAGAAAAAAGCCTTGACCTTTCCAATCAGTGTTAAATGTGCCACTTAATGGCCAGCACACTAATCTCTAGTTATATTGAAGCATAAAAGTGGGGGAGGTATGGTTGGTTAAGTGACAGGGCAGATTATCCAGCCTGGGGGGGAAGAGAGAGAGAGAGAGAGAGAGAGAGAGAGAGAGGGAGAGAGAGGGAGAGAGTTCCAAAGGGGCAAATATTCACAGAATGAAAACAGAAGAGGGCAGAGGCCTTCAGGATTCTTTGAAACTCCCAGGTGGAACCTAGGTCAGACACACATCCTGCATAAACCTTTCCTGTGCAGCTGGGATATCCTGTGTTTGTTGAAAGAACCACTCTGGGAAGCTGTGGCCATTGTCCTTCCCGAAATCTGCCATTGAGCCCCTCCCCAGGCTGTGGCAGCCACCCCAGGCAAAGGAAGAGGGACTCTGGGAAGGTCTTTATCAGCATCCTCCATGGACTTCCTTACCTCCCGTCCAGCCTCATTAGCCCTAAGGTCCTCAGCATCCTCAGATAGAAACCTGGGAGGGTGGGATGGGCTCAGAGGCCTGAAACCAACTGCCTCTGACAGATTCCTCTCCTGCCAAACCCTGCCCCTTGTGTAGCCCTGAGTGAGCGGCTGGAGGCCGCAGCTGGAGGCCATAGCCACAGCACAGAGCCCAGGATGGACCCACAGCTGGGGCCTGAGGCGGCTGCTCTCCATCCAGGTTGGCAAGTTCTGCTGCTGTTGGTGGTGTCAGTCGTGAGCTGTTTTTCCTCGCCAGCATCTCCCCCTCCTTCTCTGGTATCCCGAGTCAGAACCAGCTACAATTTGGGAAGGACTTTCCTCGGTCTTGATAAATGCAATGCCTGCATCGGGACATCTATTTGCAAGAAGTTCTTTAAAGAAGAAATAAGGTCAGAATCTCCATCAAACAATGCTAAGGGGCAAAATTCTGTACCTTTCATGTGAAGATGTCCAGGAATTTGTTGAAAATGCAATGGAATGTAATTGCTTGGGTGGGAGAGAAAACAAAACCAGTTAATGACAGTGATGGTTTGACATTGCAATGGGTAGTTGTACAAGGGCTGATTCCAACTTCTAACCCTAAATGCTAAATTCAAAGTTCCATCTGAAATGAAAACTTGAAAGTTTTCTTTTTTTATGAATAGAGTAGTCTGGGGCTGTTTTTCAAGTTTACTCTTCATGGTGAGGTGGGGGAGAGGTTAAAATTTCTAGAAATCTTACTGTTTAACAAACCTCTGTAGTCATCCTTGGTGCTAGTAATTTGTACCTCTTGCTTTAGCAAGAGGAAAGGATTTGCCCAAGGGCAAGTGGCAGGTCTGGGATACAAACTAGGACAGTTTGTGTGTGTGAGTGTGTGTGTGTGTGTGTGTGTGTGTGTGTGTGTGTGTGTGTGTGTGTGTGCCAGTCCTGGGGCTTGAACCCAGAGCCTGGACACTGTCCCTTAGCTCTTTTGCTCAAGGTTAATGCTTTACCACTTGAGCCACCGCTCCACTTCTGACCTTTTTTTTTTTTTAGTAAATAATTGGAGATAAGAGTCTCAGTTTTTCTTGCAAACCTAGAACAGTTTTATCCAAACTCCAAAGTCTCAGAACAAGTTTTCTGCTGTGTGATGTTGATCAGAGGGAAATCAGAGGTTAGTAGATTGCAATACAAATGGCTGTCACCCAAGGATGCCACCACACTCTGCAAAACCTTCTCAACATACAGTCACTGAGCTTTTACCAAAGCCAGACCAAGAATATGCTGTGATGATGCTCACTATAATTGTGGTCACTGACCTGTAGTGCATCAGAAGGAGGAAGCCATGTTGCAAATAAAGAGAAAAGGTTTGGTCTGATGCAGGTCAGGGCAAAGGACCTCCAGGATCCCCAGGGAGGGGGCATTAATTCCAAATGGGTCAGGAAAGGATTTTTCTTCAGGGGAGGAATTCTGAGCAAGACCGTAAAAGAGAAACAATTTCATGAGAGGGGTTAGAGATCAGGCAGAAGTGGCTTAAGCAAAGGTACAAAAGTATGGAAAGACATGATAAGAGGTTGGTATACAGAGCACTGGATAGCTATAGAGGTGTGACCAAGGACCTTGAAAGCCATGCCAAGGAATTGAGACACTAACCTGTGGGCCAATGGTTTCTAGCTTTTTCGGTACCAAAGCTCCTTTTTCTTACAACCTGTCATTATTTGAAAATATCTTTCCTTACCTTTAAGTAGTTGTACAAAGGAGTTACCCTCTAACAAAGCAGTTTATGAATACAATTCATCTTGATTAATGTCATCCCTTTCAACATTCTCATCTGTCCCTCCCCTACCCACTGATTCCTCACTCTTCTTAATTTTGTAAGATAGACATTAAATTTTTATTGCATTCTACCCCCTCCTCTTCTCCTCTTCATATACAATCCTTTCTTCCATCCTTCCCTAACAACCTACCTCATGCTTGAAAGTTCCATGATCAAGCTAAAAACATCAACAATGATTTTATAACCAATCTTTATTAACCACGCATCTATGATTAACTAAACTAAATTAACTCAGCAGAAAAAATAGAAAATATAAATTGAAAAATGCTAATTTTTTAGAGAATATGTTATGCAGGTAATAAGAATTTTTTTCCCTCCTAAACCCTTTGTAAGGCACTTTTTGCAAGGTGCTGGTGGCTCACATCTGTAATCTTAGCTACTCAAGAGGCTGAGATCTGAGGATCACAGTTCAAAGCCACCTAGACAAAAATAAATCCGTGAGACTTTGATCTCCAATTATGCACCAAAAAAAGAGTGTTAGCACACATATGTATATATATATATATGTATGTATGTATGTATATGCAGTTTTGAATGAGGAAAAGTGGGAAGAGTCCCCCACTGGAATAGCTTTATGGCACGCAAAGGGTGAAGCTGGGGTAGGGAAAATGAGGCCTGGGTTTCTGGAAGATCTCATAGAAAGCAGTGTGCAGGTGGGACAAGATTGTGGGACTAGTTCTCATTGTCTTAAAGAGGTCATTGAGGATGGAAGTGGAGCAGGAAAGATATGAGTCTGTTCAGCCATAACAGTTTGTTGACTAATTTGATGTAAGAGGAAATAAAGGTGGAGATGTTGAATGTGAACTCCAAGTTTCCTATCTAGGAAATGAGAAGAGAACCAAGCAGGATGGTAACTCCTGCAGGAAGGAAAGCAATGGGAATAAGGCTGTGTTTTAAGCTAGGAGGAGAGAGATAAATTTATTGAACTGAAAAAAAAGTCTGATTTTCCATCCTCCTTCACCAAGTAGCAGCGAAGGAGGGTTTTCTCTTCAGGCAGGTTACTAAACAAATTGAGAAACTAGTTCTCTAGATTTGTGTTCCATAGAATTCAGGATATTACTTCACCTCCCTTGTAATTTATTTCCCATGTGTGCCTGAAAGAGAAATGTGCAGATACATACAGGAAAACATTAGACAGGAAAACACTAGGCAGGAAGGCTCAGGGCTGCAGCTGTCCATGTTGAGTGTTCATCCCCAGCACAAAGAGGGAGAGAGAGGCAGGGAGTAAATCTCACAAGACTTGATTATCATCCTTCTTGATACATTGTAAAATAATTCTTTTTTGTGTGCCAGTCTTGGGGCTTGAACTTGGGGCCTGAGCACTGTCCCTGAGCTGCTTTGCTCAAGGCTAACACTCTATTACTTTGAGTCATGGCTCCACTTCTGGTTTTCTGGTGGTTAATTGGGGATAAGAGCTTCACAGACTTTCCTGCCTGTGCTGGCTTTGAACTGCAATCCTCAGATATCAGTCCTGAATAGCCAGGACTCACTGTGAAAACTCCTCCAAGTAGGATATTTGGGTCAAAAATTTAAAATAGTTTGGATGTATATCCATCTTCAGATGCATACTTCTACCAATAAAATTTACTTCTTGCATACACACAAACTCATCTATTAGAAAGAATGATATTGTATCATTTGTAAAGAAATGGGAAGACCTGGTAAAATTATGCTAAGTGAAGTGAATCAGGCCAAGAGAGACAAAGGATGCATGTTTTCCCTTATGTGTAGAAGCTGGGTTTAGCTTATAAACTTAAGTAAGTAAACACATTGGGTAATATATATAAGTATATACAAATGTATTAACTGAAATATAGTAGATTCAAGGGAGATCTTAAATAGTGTAATTCCTTAGAAAGGCAAAGTGAAAGCCCAACAAAATATACACCAGGAATTGGGTACTTGAAAGGGTGGAGTAGGATCAAGGGGAAAAGGGTATACAAACAATGAGAGGGAGAAGCAGTTACAAATTCAATATACATCCTACAAAATTAAGAAAAGTGGTGGGTAGGGGAGGGATGAGTGAGAATGTTGAAAGGGGTGACAGTCAAATGTATTGTGTTCATAAACTGCTTGTTAAATGACAACTCCTTTGTACAACTACTTAAAGACAATAAAAAAAGGAAATAAAAAATAAAATAATCATATATTAAATTATATCTATTGAATTAATAAATTTAGTAAATTTTAAAGACATTAAATAAAATAATAGTATGTATGTATTTCCTATAGTAACTGTATTAATATTTCATGTTATCTTTATAACTTGTGTGTTAAATATATTAATAGTAATAACTTAAACTGACATTTAATATTAATTTTTTTAGTTTTCATTTCATTTCTAAGTTTTGAGCATTTTTTTCAGGTTTATCAGCCATTTGTTCTTCTTCTTTGCTAAATTGTCTCACTGTGCTTCTTTGTCTCTTTTCTGAGGAGGAGGGCTACTGAAGATGGAATTCCAGAGCCTCATGCATTCTAAGCAGGCACTCTATCACTGAGCTATGCCCAGCCACCCTTTTGCTTTTCTTTCTAATGTTGTATGTATTCTTGTTCTTGCTGATCTCCTCTCTGAACTGCTTACACACTTTTAAGAATGATTCTCATTATACTTCAGGGGGAAAAAAAGTCCATCCCAAAGTTTCCGTCGTTTGGCTACAATGTTCTAACTCAGTCTGATTGAGCATTTCCACCCTGATCTCATTAAGGACTATACAATGCTGGAATGCAAACAGCAGAGGGCCTTTCTGGACTGGCAGGGTATGCTGAATATGCTGGTAGATGAGCGTGGCTTTGCCTTCTTTCCTTTACCTCTTCTTTGGTGAGAATGCTAGTAATATATCAGAGTCCTCTCCATCCCATACTCAGCCACTAAACACTGAAAATTGGAATGCTTTCTGTAACAATTCTCGCATGCATTCCCTGTTGACTTTTACATCCTGAATGAAAACATTAAAGGAAGCCAGAAAATTGAATATGCCTCATCGGGATACTCTTCCTATTGAAAATATACATATATATAAAATCCTGAAAGGCCATATTGGGAGCATCTACCAGGATTTGATTGATTAGTATTTGTATAGGGGAGAGCACTTTGAGGCACCATTTTAGAAATATTTAAGAAGGACCAAAAGAATACAACTGATCTAGTAATTAGTCAATGGCATGATAGGACACCAAACTTGTAAGTACAACAAAAGGTAATGGAGCACAGAAGGAACATGGTAAACTATACTAAGTGGTATGAGTCCTGAGGCTTTCAAAAGATACTGGGTGCTGTCAGCTTTCCATGCAGAGCTAAGGAATAAAGAAGAGAGGAGAGGCAAGAAATACATAGGAAGGCCTGTGTATCCACAAGGGAAAAGAACATTTCTTTCGAAATCCAATTCTGTCTCCTTTCCCACAATAACCACCCCACTCTCCATGTTGAGAAAGTTAGGGAATTGACTGGGAGACTTCCTTCCTACTCTGAGAAATTGTGATCTTCCTTGTTTGTTGTTGAATGCAGTGAGGAATTTAACCAGCCTTACTTCAGTCATACTAATTATCTCAATTCAAAAGGATGATCTAGAGAGATACAACTAGCTGAGGGCTAGTGCCTCACTTCTATAATCCTAGCTCTTGAAAGGCTGAGATCTGAGAACCACTGTTTGAAACCAGCCCAGTCAGAAAAGTCTATTTATTTCCAATTAACCAGCAAAAAGCTGAAAGTGGAAGTGTGGTTCAAGTTGTGCCAGCCATGAAGAGCTCAGTAAGAGCATGAGGCCCTAAATTCAAGCTCCTGTATCACTTTTTTAAAAAAGAAAGAAAGAAAGAAGGAAGGAAGGAAGGAAGGAAGGAAAGAGAGAGAGAGAAAGAAAGAAAGAAAGAAAGAAAGAAAGAAAGAAAGAAAGAAAACAGAAGAAAGAAAACAGAAGAAAGA